GTGTACCACAGCTTTTCTGTAGAATTACAAAATTAAATCTAATGGGAACACATGGTAAACTAATGTCCCTGTCAAATTACCGCAATCGCGACGTAAAACTAACAGGCTGAAAAGATTTCCACACAGCCACGGTAAGTTAGCAGGGGCGCAAAAAATCCAATGGGAACAGATCCCATACAATGTAGATTGACCATGGCCACGCTAAACAGACTACTGCCTACGCAAAGAAAATGGTTGTACGGTTCCCAGCCTCCAGCTCCATTTGTACAGTACAGCAGCATGCTGGAGGGCTTTTCCTGTATGAGTTCGTCATCCTTGTGGCAGATTTGGCCGAATTTGTCTGATTTTATCTTTGTTTTTGTCAGATTTTGCCGATTTCATCATGATTTGTGCAGTGCAGGCAATGTAATCAGCTGGTCTTATTAGGCCTAACACAGCAAATAAACATTCCGTTACGGTTCAAACAGTCCATGTAGGAATATGCTGTAGATTGACATGAAGGAATGTGGCGGTTTTCACGTGCCCGTGGAAGAAAAAGTCCAATGGAAACACGGCTATTGTGCATCAGACTTTTACATAAGCTGCAGTATGTTGCATCTGGCGGGGTTAGGGTCAAGGTCAGTATTTACAAAGTTTCACCTTTATTATTATTATTTTCACCTTTTTTTTAAACTCCTCTTCTAAAGGTTGTAGACTGCTGGCCCTCTTTGATTCCACAATCTGACCGTCTTGCTTGGACCTTCATCATTGTTCCAAGAGCAGCTTATGACAATAAGGGGCTTGATCTGTGAAATTAAAATAATCATAAAATGATTTAACTAATTCATCCATTTATAATAAAACAATTTTCTTTTTACAAGACAAATATTCATTTTCATGTTGTTATTTTTAAGGAGCTGCAAAAAGACTGTTCAAAGATTCAAAATTGTGGCTTTCATCAGTGAATATTTTGGGGAAATTATACCCCAAGACAGGTTTACTGTCAGTTATGTTCTCGGCCAGAAAATATTTGTCATCACATCTACAAAGTGTATAACATCCGGCACTGTGCAGTCTCTGTAGTTTTTAGTTTAGTTCTCTAAGACAACAGAAGTTAACACAGAACCGTCCATTTTATTGGATGGCTGCATCAAGTGGCAACTTCAACTTTATTTCAAATAAGGAAACCTTTTCAGCTGAAGCAGATGCATTATTCAATTTATGCCTGATCTTCCTGACCCTACAGGGGTGGGGAAAGGCTATCCCCCCCCTCCCGCACAAACAGTGACATAACACCTATCACTTTCCATCCCACGCAGCCCCCCTCTGTCCCTTCAAAAAATTTCTTTGCTCTTGTTTTCCCTTTCATGGGTGAAGGGTGAAGCTACCACATCTGCCTAATTGCGATCAAATAAGAAGGGTTAGCAGGTGTCAGTTACATATATATACATGTGCATGAGCATGATGTCATATCCAGACTTACATGTCTCCATTGTCCAGTCATCTCTTACCTGATTGCCAGCTGCCAGATGTGTATGCAGGTGTGGGGTCCAGCATCAAAGTGTGCCAATGCAATGCAGGTGTAGGGTGCATTCAATTGCAAGGCAGACCTGGAAAAATAGCAAGCTATCACAATAAGAGAAACTCAAACTAACTGAAGAATCTTCAACGGCAACTGAATCAATAAGGATTCGCATTCCAATTCTACATTTAAGTATAATAAAAAAAAGATCAACTCTTAAAAAAAAAAAGACCAAACTGAAAAACTAAATAAGACTTGAAAACCATGAAATAAAGTTTAACCAAAAAAAGAGCTGGGGGGGGGCTGTGAAATCACAGATCAAAACTTGATATTTCTCCACTGCCGTGCATGTATATGTAGGCGGGCCGGCACATACAGTGTGTGTGGTCTTGAACTTCAAATGACCATCATAACAAAACAATACATGAATGTTGGATTGAGCGCACCTAATTTTTACTAAATGAAGCATGGGACAGCCGAGTCACAGTACCAGCTGTGACAAGTCACATGCTCTAAAATAACATGGCTTTTTTATTTTAGCATTCACCAGCACAGTGTGTCAAACAGAACTTATAAGAACACACGTAAATGTAGACTCAGACTTCCATTATTGACTCTAGCAGACAGGACTCAAGCAGAAAACCACTCCAGTTATGTGGAACAATACATGACTTGTATCTGTAAGTTGACTTGTCTCTGCTGATCTGCTTCACAAAGTACCATGGCCACACTACATGTATATAGCCAAATTAAATCCAGGGGAACTCTAAACTACAGTCATTTGCAAAAGTTCAAGACCACCTGGAATTTTATTGGTATTTCTGTCACTGGGCCTGCATTACCTTGTCTCATTGAATGGTGCATAATCTGTCTACCCATTTGAATGAAATTTTTTGCAAAGGCAGGTCTTGTGTGATATTTTATCTGTAAGGCAGCATGGGTAAAAATGCACGTCAGTATAGGACCGTATGTGTAAATATAGTGTACATGTACGTGCAGTGTTAGAATTCTGGAATACTTACATGCCAAAGTTTGTCAGTCTGGCAAGAAAGACTGGGATTTTGCCTTCTCATCTACGGTAATTAATGATGCATCCAAGTGCCTGGCCTTCCCAAATTACAAGGCCAAGTATCTCATGTCAGTAAATTTACATGAACAGTACATGCATTGTCAGAATTCTGGAAATACATGTACTTTAATACAGGTATGCTAAAGTGTGTCAAAACTAGCTTGGAAGATTTTTATTCATGCTACAGCCATGTGCCTGCCTTCCAGAGTTGATGAGACCGAGTTGACCTGAGATGGAGTTGACTCGAAGTGAGTTGATTCCAGACCAAGTTGGCGACTTCACACTGATGAGTATACAGTGTGTGTACATTGCCATGTTTCGCTGGACCATATCTGAATCTTTTGAAAGGCAATCCATAAGTGTCCAAGTTGCTCAGACTATTATTAACTGATCTACGTCATCCTGATGCAGTTGCGTCAATTATCATTTCAAAAATTCAAATGTGCACAGCATGCCAAAGTGACTAAGTTGGGCTAGCACTCAGAAAAATTCACTTTGGACATGGTTGGGCTTATATCATTATGGGATGGCCTAATATTAGAGCTGCACCTGAGCACATCATCACAGCCAACAACTTCCTTGGGAGGGATTAACAATTTGAAAGATGAGTACAAAATCTAAGTAGGCATATAGGCCTACTAAAGTTACTCATGCCATTGTTCGTAGCCATAGTTTGGCATGCATATGCTTATCCACTACAAACACAAGGCGAGGGTTCCCCTCGTTTTCCGGTTTCTCTGAATGACGCAATCTACATGTACATTCAGAATTCACATCTTGGCATGACCAGGAAAAAAGCCCTTTTTAGCTTGTTATAGTTGAGCTCTGAAGACAAATGGCACTGCGTTCAATTTGGATGCTTCCTTATTTATATGAACAGGTGAAATCTGAGAAAATACGTTTTCCTTAGGCGAGAGGTGCTCCTTGAGAAAAATTCTGATTACGAAACATTAAACCATTGCTATGACGTCACCTATTGTCAGAAGTGTGGATTCAGATCCACGAATCTATTACACTGGTCAAAAAAGTGTGGATTCGGAATTACGAATCCACACTTTTGAATTACGAAACCACACTTCGAACAATGTAAAATAAATGTACAACTTTGCAGACGACATCAAACCCATCACACATGCATTTTTTTATTTCGTTAGAAGACCTCACCCCTGCGCACAATGTTTCTTGTTTTGTCATTTTCTTCAAATTACTGCAACTTTTACCTAAAACTGCAATTTCACGCTACACATTGTTCTCAACACTTACATTTGTTTCTTCACATAAATACATCAATACAGGAGCTTAAATACTTGGGGATAAATTCTTATAACCTGACGCCACTTTTGAAACCGAAAAAAAAAATCACGTTTTGGCTCTTAACTTGTCCACCCTAGAGTCCACTTGCATGTGAGCATAGCTTGGAATTTGTGGGAAAAGTCTTTCATGGAGTTTTGATGGCAAAATTCTGGTCGACTTGGCACATTTGTATTGTGTGGACGCCATGTTTTGGATGCACACAGTAAAAATGCACTAAGTAGACCAGAAATTTGCCCCCAAAACTCCATGAAAGACTTTTCCCACAAATTCCAAACTATGCTCACATGCAAGTGGACTTTATGATGGACAAGTTAAGAGCCAAAAAGTGTTGGTTTTTTTCGGTTTAGAAAATGGCATCAGATTGCAATTTTTTTCACTTTTTTTTATTGATTAATCACATACATGTATCAAACTTTTCAGTCATTCTTTTGCCAAATGTTTACTTTTTCTACAATATTTCTATAAAACTAAAGGGGAAGCTTTACTCTGAAAAAAAATCCAACGACAAGTGTAATTAATGTAACTGTCACATTTAACTTGACTTATGTTGACCATTTGATTCAATACTGGCAACTTTGTACAATCAATCAAAGTTTGATATTAACATTTAAAGTCATAACACGACCATCTGATTCTTTTTCAGTGACGGTCGAAGGCCCAGACTGCACAACCGTTGTGTTTCTTTCTTGACCATACAATGCTTTACTGATATTCTTTTACTGACCATCACTGGTTCTTTTGTACGCAAGGACAGCAGTGGACCTGTGACCCGTGGTTTCACAAATCAGTTGTTTGTCAAAGCTTTTAGTAAAGTCTAAATGCTGCTGTTGCTCTCAGGGAATGATTGGTTCCAAAGCCAGTCAATTGGACACTTTTGCACAAGTGTGCGACAGTTTCAGTGATTTGGTTTACACCAAGAGGTTGACAAGAATACCATGTATCTGACTTGGGTTTTGCCAATGGACACAAATAAAATGCTGAACTACATTTGGGATCGGATGGTCTATGAGCCAGGTATTTTAGGTACAACTCAACAATGCATCTTTTAGGGTTCTCAGTGTTTTCATATGCACGCACACATTTTGGTCCACATTTTGGTCAGCTTGCGGTGCTTCAACCCACCTTGTCTGTTTTTTGAGACATCCTCCGTATAGAGCAAGTAGCGAGATCCCTCACTGTCCGTTTGGACCAAGAGGTGTGAGTTCTCAAATCTCAACTGGCGGTGTTCAGATCCTGCTCGCAGGGCGAAGTGAATTCCAAAAAGATACAAAATTGTGTCTAGAAGTTTCTGTGGAGATTCATCGCCAAGTACTCCAGTCTCCCACAAAGTCTCCTCCTTGTCTTCTGTTATCACCTCAGCCTGTCGACGATGAACACGATGTCCTAAGCTCTTTCATTCGCGTGTCCAGGGTATTCTTCAGAACAGTAAATTCCTCATCGTTGAGAAATTTCATGTCCTGTCCATTCATCCACAGATACATCTGAATAGATATTACAATTTCGTATAATATTTCTGCAGGATAAGGATCCCTGTTCTGCTTTTTGGCCTCCGAGACAAATCTTGTCAGAGAAAAGCAGAGTTCATCCTTTGTCATCTCCAGTAATTCCACTCGAATGGGGCTGAGATGCATGTCAGAGGTGGAGCCCTGTACTGCACGTTCGTTACGCCAGGCTTTCCAGTTGAAGATTTTCATCGCCCAGTAACATTTCTTCTCCGTTGCCTTTGAGAAGCTGAAATGAAAATTAAGTATTATAATTCACTTTTTTCACAGTCAAACAGAAGTGGGCCGTGAAGAAAAGAAGACCGAAATGGCCGAAACTTATTCTGTGCGTTTGCAATATATCATTGGGCAATTTGTATTTCAGTGAGTTAAAGATTCAGTTTATGCCCAAAAAATCTGCTGACACAAATATGACCCACCCGACATTAACATTAAAAAAACAAGTATGTCTTACCTTTTCCGCGATTTTGATGCTATATCAGCTTCTGGTATTGGAGTTCCAAATCTCTCCTTTGAGTATTGATTTTCTGCTACCTGACAAGACGATATTAATTCCTCTGCATCCGAAATGTCAGAGAATTGTACTCCATACAATATTTAGTGGGAAGGTCTGCTGAAAAACTGTCATGCCAAAAAGTAGTCAATTGGTCGTCACTGTTGGATTCTCGGTTATCACTCCGAAAACTAGATTGAGTCAAAAACATATCATCCCTGGAACTATCCATGTTGGCTTGAAGGACTCCACACACAAAATGACCCGAGGTACAGGTGTGGCAAAATACATTCTTTCCAGAAACGGGTATTACGCAAGTTTTTTTTACGCAAATGAACTAAAGAAGCCACTGTTTTTATCTTGCCTTACTTTAAAATCCAAGGAATCTATCCACAGCTATTCATTCCCTCACCCGAATTCAGAGCTTCATTACGTAAGAGCCTTGGAAAACCCCCTTAAATATAAATGTGCAAAGTGATCAGTCTTTACATCTCCACTCAACTGCAGAGAATGATGACAATACTTCTTTTGACGCACTGGTTTAAGTCAGAGAATACACTCGCAAGTGTGGATTCGTAATTTACGAATTCACTCGGCGCTTTGACCTCGTGAATTCTTAAATACAAATCTATACTTTCTCGTGCATTCTCCTTGACGTACACTATCACAAAGAAGTATTAACTTTCAGATTTTCACAGAAGGCACAGTTTTGCACAAGATCATACTTTTTCAGAAAAATCTGTCATACTTGTGCATTAGAAACTTTGTACATCTACTTCAAAAGAAAGTGGTTAATGCCTTGTGACATTTTGCAGACATGAATTCATAGGCATACATGTATGTTGTAAAAGATTGCTATGAAAGGAGCCCAGAATATGGATGAAATTCCATGTCCGGACATCATTTAACACCTTGTACTCAAATCCTAGGCTACAAGACTGAACTGGAAAATTGTAAGCATACATGTAAACGGTAAAATTGTCTCTGGTAAATTTGACTTTTTAGGACAAGAAAGCTAACAAACGGATGTCCGTATATGGAACCCTTTCTGCCACATGCATGATGCCACGAAGGAACCTTTGGAACTATTTAAACAATATAATGCTACTCAAAAACATGAAAAGTGAAACAATCCTCTCTTGGGAAATCAAGCCAAGCTGCCCCTGTATCAAAGTCCGCATGACCTCACGTATAGAACCCCTGAGTCAACGTCCTGTGAGGTCCTGATGAGTTTTCACTATGGTATTGTATGACAACTATGGGCAATCTCGTCGTCCTAGTCCAGATTTCCTCATCCTTGATGTTCTTAGACCTGTCTGGGAATATCCACCCTAACCCTGGCCCAAAGTACCCTTAGGGTGTTTGCTCTAAGGCTTGTAAATGGAACCAAGATTGTATAGCTTGTGACAAGTGTGAAACCTGGCTTCATAAATATTGCATCAATATGGACTCATTTATTTCTGAACAGTTGGGTCATTGTCACAGCTACCCCCCAAAAGTCATTGTAGCAAGAATTTTTGTGGGTTAGTGTTTACCCCCCTGACAACGTCATGCAGACACAAAAGATTCAAAAATAAATCTTCTCTTAAATTTAAATAAATTTATTACGACATAAATCTTAAAGCTAAATACTATGGTACAACAAAAACACACCAAATTAATTATCTGTTAGTATCAACAAATATTTACAAAAGCTAATAATGGAGCATTCCACGTAAGACCGAATTATGTTTATAATAGTCCGCGTTCGGACCACGAAGCAAGGTGTATAACTGAAAGAAGTTTAAAATGGCTTCTGCAATGACTTCTTGGTTGTAATGAAATAAAGAAAATTATAATCAATTGGTTTGTTTCATCCTTCTCTGCAATTACTTCTTAGTTGTAAAGAAATAAAGAAAATATTACAATCAATTAGTTTATTTAGTCCTTCACCTATTAATTATTAAAACCTTACTAAGCCGGCAATCAGATTGAGAGAAAAAAAAACTCATTTATATTGGGCCCACCGCGAGTAGAATACGCTTTCCGTGTTGAAGGCCGTCCCCTTGCCCGAACTGTCAGCTTGAACCTTATGCCGGAACCTCTGAGTAGGTGCCAGTCGGTGTTTCAGCTCGCCTGCAGCCAGCCTTCGGCCTGTCTGCCTTGGGCAGTCGGTAGGGCAATGGAGATCACAATGTCACACTTTAATCACTAGGGCTAATGGCTCATGCAGCCCTGGATGCCATCTGAAGTAATATATATGCAACGTAGATTCCGATAATAATTCTACAGCCTAGATTAATGGCGATTGAGGTAGTGATAACATTAAATACAAACAATTGCATGTATATTGATCCCCTAATGAAATCGCTCCAAAGTTACTGGATCAAACCACAAATTTAGACCACTTAATAATTATGTAAGAAAGAAATATTTATAATATCCCCATCATTCAGTTCCTGATTGGAAACAGTGCATCCTCTGTGGTCACTAAGATCAACTAGGAGTGGTACAAGTACTCAACATCAAATTTATAACACAGGAAATAACAGAAAATTTCATAAAATCAGAACCTCAAACTTACGGTCTTTGGTAGATTGGATGCCTGGCGCTCTCGGAGACCATCACCGTTCCAAGACTTGGTTTTCCGGTGGAAAATTTTAGAAATTTTGCTTGTAGCAAAGCCAATTTTACCATTTACATGTATGCTTAGAATTTTCCAGTTCAGTCTTGTAGCCTAGGATTTGAGTACAAGGTGTTAAACGATGTCCGGACATGGAATTTCATCCATATTCGTCAGTCGTCATGTCCAGGCAATCGGTGGCAAAAAGCGCTTTTTCAAAAATGGCAGGCTGTAAGTCACATGTCAACGGCATTATAAAAAAACCAGTGTCGCATAAAATAATAAAGAGACGAGACCATGGCAACATGAATATGTATGCTAACTTATGTATTATCTGTTTACACGATAGGACACTACAGGTACGAACGGTACACACAACACACGGACGTTGACAAACACAAATCAAGCCTACTGAAGCATGAAGTAGGGTTCTTGTTTGCCAGGGCAACGCTGACAGTCATCATTTCTGTTCCTGCTTTTGCGACAACTGTGGTGTGCCACAATTTAGCTCTTCATTATTTTGGACATTTACAAGAAATTAGGTTTCGACTCAAAATTCATTCGCTTCACTCCTGGAAATCATTGATTATGATTCAGATATCGGTGCACCAGTGTCTACATCATCTCCCACCACCAAAGGTAGAAACAAATTTGACCAAAGGGCTAAAAGCGGTTCTATTGGTAGTCGTCGTGTCCACCACATGAAAGGCAAAGCTTCTAGTATCCGCATCAAGTCTCTGAATTTACAAGGACTTTCAAACAAGAAACAGGCCCTTGCCAATAAGATCTTTGAACACTGACCACATGTCGTTCTGGCCACTGAGACTTGGCTTTCTCCAGAAGTCGGTACCAGTGAGTGCTACCCTTCAAATTACACCATCTTTTGGAAACACCGCTTAGAAGTCAAGAAAAAGGAAGAGGCGGGGTCCTTATTGACGTAAGGGATGATGTCATTATCACACATTTCCCTGAACTTGATGTGGACACAGATGTTTTGTGGGTTACACTACAGATGGTCAACAGCAAACCAGTTTTTGATGGGTGGATTCTATCGTCAACCCAAACTGGGTGCTGAATCCCAACACAAACTTCATGAGTCACTGCAGAAAGTTGACTTAACCAAGAACCCCAATGTACGGCTAGGAGGGGACTTCATTGTTCCGGATATAGACTGGACGGTTCCAACAAGAAAGCCAGCCGAAAATTGCATCTACAGCAAGGACATTGCTTCTTCTTTACTGAACTTAATTGATGACTTATCTCTTCATCAGTTTACAGGTCAACCAAGTTGATCAGACAACTCCTCTCAGTCACTTATCCTCACGCTTTCCCACCAGTCATCCCCAACCCAGGGATATCCCATCATCGTATAAGAGCTCCAGGCATAATCTACCTTGGATGTCCCAGCCACTCAAACAACTCATCCAGAGAAAAAACAGAGCCTTTTAAGTTGCCAAAAAAGAACAGCACTCACCATGATTGGGATAGGTATTAGCACCTCTGCAAATGTGTTCAGAAAGAATTAAGGAAAGCAGAACACAGCTATCTCTGCATGACAGTGTTTGAATCGCTTTGTACAGACTCAGAGAATGTCTTGTCCTTCGTACAGTTGTCATAAAGAGTAGACGTAATGAACCAACAGGCATCAGTGCTTTGTGGAATGGTCAAACTTGTCAGTTCAATGCGGGAGAGAGCTGAAACTCTTACCAGTTCAGATCTGTTTTCACAAGGGAAGGTACTTCTTCACTACCTAAAGTTTGTGGCAGAAAACTTCCACCAATACCACCACTCCAAATCCAACTAGATGGCATTTTTCAAGCTGCTCCAAATTAATCACCAGACAAGGCTCCTGGACCAGATGTTGTTCACCCTTTCATTTTGAATGCATCAGAAATCACTCCTGCGCTTACTACAATATTCAATCAAAGTCTTCTCACTGGCCTTGTCCCAGCTGACCGGTCTAAGACAAATATTACCCCTATTCCTAAGAAAGGAACCCGCACTGGTAAGTCAAATTACAGGCGTGTTTCTTCTGTTTGTTGCAAGATCGTTGAGCATATAATTTACAATTGTCCAATTACATTCTCATCAGGTGCTGCATCATCATAAGTATCTAGGAGTTACCTTGTCATCTGATTTCAAATGAAACTCTCATATTGATACCGCTGTCTCCAAAGCAATGGTGTGATTGGTTTCCTCCACCGTAACCCGGGTAGGGCCCCTCAGAAAGTTAAGATTCAAGCTGTATGTAGATATGGAAGACCATCTTCAGTTCAACATAAGGGACATCAACATTTGGAAAACAAGATCACAAAACCCCTATCACTACGAGTTCCTTCAACCCTAACCAAGTGTTTTCAACAATCATTCCCACATCAGCCAGGTACTGGCATGACTGGAATCAACTACCATATATTCAGCTACCTTAAAAACATGTAAAAAAGTTTGAATAGATAATCCACCAACCTCTGACCTGAATTGAGTGATGTTCCAGTTGGAGCTGTTCAATCAACAATCCAGATCCACTCAGATACAAGCACAAGTTCCTTACTGTTAAGATTCGAGTCCAAAACAGAAAAGTTATGAAATAGGGGCTTGCTTAGCTCTACTAAGTGGAGCGTTAGTATTCCTCTTTTCGATTTCGGATGGGATCGTCATACTAACACTCCACACCTGTACATACAATAAGGTTGAAACGGTTCTTAAAAATTCCAAAGACTCACCAAAAATACCTCTATCACCACCTACTGGCTTCCGTAAATGCTAATGTCAAACGGTCGGGGCTTCAATGATATTTCTGACTTCAAAGTCTGTCAAAATCCAACCGTTTTCGCTCGCCACACGCACAGCACTTGAACTTTTTGCCGCCTGCACCTTTCAAATGCATGTAGCAAGATTTAGAATATGCAGTAACTCTATGGGCGAAACATGGTACTCCCAGAAACACGCATGAGCGGCCTATACGTAGTCTGGGCACAAGACTTGTTGATCGTGACAGTTGGGAGCGCTACCATTAACTGTTTCCTCTTTGGGCGAACATGGTCCGCTAACGAAACCACAGGAGAGGCCCAAAAGTAGTCAGGGCACAAAATGTACTGACCAGAAAACGGTAGGATTTTGACAGATTTTGAAGACAGAAATATCACTGAAGCCCCAACCTTTTGATGTTTGCATTTACGGAAGCCAGTAGGTGGTGATAGAGGTATTTTTGGTGAGTCTTTGGAATTTTTGAGAACCGTTTTAACCTTACTATATGTATAGGCGTGGAGCATTAGTAAGACGATCCCGTCCAAAATCAAAAAAGAGGAATAGCCTAGTAATGCTCCACTTACACCTAGTCCCACTAGTGTGGCACGGACCCTCACCACCGCTCCATCCTCAGCCACACATCCATATACGCAATTTCGTTTTGGCGTAGTGAAATCTTCGGCGCACCCTCTTATAATCATGGGTGCAATTTTAAAAAATACATGATCCTTTAACTTGCTTTCTAAAAAAATATTAACTTACATGTACGTGCATAATCACTCAGTCCGCAAGACTTCAGTTGTATATTAGAATTTAGATATGTTTTGTGTAGTTACGTTTATTAGTTGGTAGAGTTCTTGAAATGGAACAGCCGTCTGCGGGCCGGGGTCAAGTGATGTAAAGTTTAATAGACTCACTTTAATTTAAAGATGGCGTGTGAGACCGTGAGATTGAATGGGTAAAAGGCAAAAAGACTGGAAAATACCAGAAGATTGTGATTGAAATCATTCAATAGTGGAGAAACTACACATGTAAGGAACATTTGTGTGGGCAAAAAAAATTGCGGCTACAATTATAATAGGGTGCGCCAAAGATTTCACCACGCCGACAAGAAATTACGTAGGCCTATACATGTACATGTATACGTACGGATGTGTGGCCGAGTAGTGAGGGTCCGTGCCACACACGTGGGGCTACACTTGTGCTTACACGTGGTGCTTGGCTTGGCGTACGGTTTCGTAACAAGTCGACTTGGACGGTGGGTACGTGACCTGCCGAATTCGCAATTAAGTACGATTAATTTCGACAAGCCCGTCTGCCTTCTAACATCATGACTAAGTTCAACCTCACGTCATTGATACTGGAACAGGTTTGGGACAACCACGACGGGCATTTCCACAGCAAATGTTCCCGCGCCATGCCTGAGAGTGCCAAGTTGTAGCCCGCCCTCTCTCGCTTTATCGGCGAAGCATTCAAACATGGCTGCCTCCATGAGACTGCGGCTACATTTTGACGGGAATGTTTGTACGCAGATTTCACCGAGAAAATGCTGGTTCTTGGTCAATTTAGACAGTTGCAATGTTGTAGCAGACTTAGAATACTTGATAAGACAGCGGTTTGAGCTCGATCGGAGATTAAAAATCCATTTGTACCTGGATGATTTTCTGCTACCATCAATGGAGAAAATTCACGTTGTTCGGGATAACGATACGTTGTGGTGAGCAGGGTTGACGCAGCTGTTAAGCACGATCAGTTTAGTTGCCATGCCAGTAACAGAGTAAAAGTATATTCATATGGGTTCACAGTCAAATATCCACTGCCTAACATAAATACTTGTATGATACAGGCGTGGACCGGTTATTTTACAGAACAAGTAAACTCTGGCGAGTAAATTAAGACACTGATTGAAAAGGCAGAAGTTTCATATCTAATGAGGTACCAGTCCTTGATTTCACAAGGCTTTGTAAATGCCAGCAACAATATGCAGATAACACTTGTTGGGAATTGATTCTCAGACTTTGTAAAAAGCATGACCAAGGTCATGAAACAAGAAGCCAAATTACATTTCACTAAGAAGAATGCTCAGGACTTGGCATTTTGGCAATGAAGAAACTAAAGACTAAAGGTCAATTTAATTTGAATCTGTGAATCAGACACATGATAATGTGGTCCATATATGTGCGCAATGAATTTTTGTTTTAGTTGACTAAATAAGTTAACCTCTCATATAACAGCCAAGGTGTTGAGTATCCGTTCATGCCACTTTTATACAGGATCAAGCTGACTGAGATGGAAAGTCACCTTCTCCAAAGACTTGACGAACAGAGTGAAGAAAGTTCATCTGACCCAGAAAAGCAACAAGAGAAAAAAAGAACGAGCAAACCTAGAAAAAGGAAGTCCCACACAAGGCCTGAAACAAAGCAGAGAAAACAGAAGAGTAGATGTAACAAGCATGACAGCCATCTAGATCAAAACACATCTGATCATAGAAGTGTTGAGTTTCAGACAGAGGGGAAAAATTGGGGGGATAGGAAACAACACTCCAAGAAGATGAAGACAGATCATCCAGAAAAGAGATTGGAAGCTCCATCTCCACTCCAAACTGAGTCAAATAACGTAGATAAAGCAAACACAAGTTTGAAATCTAGTACAGGTAGCATTCAAGATCATTGTGAGAAGTCCAAAAAAACGTCAAGTCAAGATTCAACTCGTGTAACATCAGTGGTAAAAAAAACAAAAAGAAACAAAGATGTAACTGAAAGAAAAAGCAGCTCTATCAATCAAAGAAAACTAAAGGAGGACAGAACTGGTGATTGGTCAATGTTAGCCACAAGTTACCATCAGCTTGCCTCAGGAACTGAAAGTAGTGTCACTGAAGAAAGTGAAGTACAAGGTATGGTTTCAACTCAAGCATCTGGATTGATGTCCAATGCACCAAAGCATGCAAGTTCAAGGGATATTGTGACTGATGTGGCCTCCAGTTTATGCCAGGACGAGAATGGAAAGGCAAATGTTGGCCAAAGTTCAAGAGAGGAGACCAGAACACAGAATGTTGTTAGCAAAAAGAAGCTGAAGCCCATCTGCTCAGCAGGTCATATTCGGTTTGAGTCGGACTCTGACTCGTGCTCAGAAGACTCAGCCCAAGCTAGTGAAGGGGCCAAAAGCCAGACAAGTAAAGAGCAAAGCAATGCAGAGAAAACTTTAACAAACTCGGAAGATCAAACACCGACAGGTACTGATCATCTGCTTGGTGAAAATAGGACTACAGATGAATCCGTGCCTGCTCCTCCTGCAAATGACATTCCAGAGTTGCAGCCTTCTCCCTCTGGTCAGTTTTCCATCAAGGAACAGTTCCAGAACAACAGCAGCTCCTCTCCCAGAAAAGCATTCACTGCCAGAGGGAGGGGAGTTGTTAAAGGTAACAGAGGGAACTGGAACAAGAAGAATCAACTGGCAGCAAATCAGACGAACAAGTCAACTATCGTTCAGGTACATGTACATTGAAGTCTTATGTAAGATATAGCATTTAAGCTGCTTTGCTGTGTGTTATGTAACATTTAGCATGTTACCGTGACACTCAACAATCCTTAAAAATCCAAGCCAGAGGCTTTGCAAGATTAAGGAGGGTAGATCCAGTGTACTGTACCATGAACATTAGATGGGACTTGATTGCAGTACAAAAAAGGCACCAGTTGGTTCCTGCACATTGGTGGGTTTTGTAGGATTCAGGAAGACCCAATTAAAACATCAAGGCAGTTACAATTAGCATTGCTCTTCCAAATGAACTCATGCTCTGCAGTATGCTTTTTTGGAAGGGGTTTACCACATTCACATATTAACTAACATGAAATTAACCTGTGGAAATACACGAGTTGGCTTTATATCCGAGTATGTTAAATTTTTATTACTTAAATTTATTTACACAGCCAGAGCTGCTCTCCACGTCCCATCTTTACTTATCAAGTAAACATTGAAGAAAAGACTTTTGGAAGGTCTTCTTGCTGGAGGCTTATCATACTTGTTACATTCAGGAAAAGATTACGACAGTTTCATATTGAAATTCAGCAGTTCACTGTTCGACTTTGTGTTCAGATCACCAGCATCAGCTTTACAGCAACACCTATTCTGTCCTTTCAACAGTTTTTTTCCTTGCCCAATGTTATCTTGCTTAGAATGGACCATCAGAAGCTGTGCTCCCTGCCAAGGACTTTGGCTCTTTCCAACCACTGGTTGGCCCACCTAGACAAGGTGACATCATTGCCTACAAGGTAAATATTCAATCCTTGAAGTGGTTAAAAATTCAGCTTGTCTCAGTTTTTACAGTGTAATATTACAGTGGGGATGCCAAATATGAATTTTGAAAGATTGGGCAGAACTGTCACTCACTTTGTAGAAAACCATTCTTGAACTGTTTGCATCCCAAGAGGTAATTGGCTTCTTGTACTGTCTTTGTTGTTGACAAATTCTTGCTTCAAAATCCATTTGAATGCTGTTTTGATCTTCTGCAGATCCTGGAGTTGTCTGAATCTTACTGCCCCGAGCTTTCTAACTTCAAGGTAAGTGGATTTTTCTGTTCTTCCAAAAGCCAAGAGAGGTAACATTGTGTTGGTCAGTTATTTCTTACATACGAGTTACGCATTAATCTGTAATATAATTGTATTTCATGTTATTTCCATTTTGTTTGAAAATCTCATAAGAGATTTTGTTGGATTCTAGTTGTGCTCTTGCTGTCATTTATCACTGCATGAGCTCAAACAGAAATTTCTTGTTGAAAATTTGTTTGTGAAGTTTCATCCAACAAATTTAAACAGCGTGTTTGCTGGAATATTCTGCATTGTAACAATGTCAGAGCACCTCACAGGACATTTTAATGCATAAAAAATGGGACAAGAGTACAAAAAACCTCAGCAAATCAGCCAAATGATGTCCAGGTCCCCAGTGCAGTACGTGCATACAGTTGACTTCCCCTACAAAGAACATTGTTATAACAAAGGGCTGTTATGAGGAGCAAAGTTGGAAAACTCCAGTTTCTTAAATTCTTGTCTTTATTTTTGTTTTTCCACTCCTTTCATGACAACGTCCTGGTTATAAGGAAGTAATTTGTCTGGTCCCTCTGACTTTTAATAAGAAGAGTTAACAGTATATCTACTGCAAATTATGCTTCCATTCAGAAACTGGGCACAAAGTCTAGAACAATTACCTCAAACTAGGAACCTGTTGGCAATTTTACTTACACTCTAACCGTATTGCTTTAAACACACTGAGCGGTTGTCTCCTCGGGATACAGGAGGCCAAGGTTTTGAGCATTGATCCAGCAAGTGGTACAGTCGAGGTACAACTCCAGTCTGCTGCAATGTTGACCAAACCTTCCAAACCGGGCAAGTTTGACCTGCCATTGGAAGAAGGAGGAGAACCGCAGGATGTCTGCAATGAAGAGGCTGATCAAGATTTAACAGTGAGTGGATGATGAGCCAAGGGGAGGTCTTTCAGTAAATCGCTGTTGGGTAGGGTTATCAATGAGCAATTATTACGGTTGGAGAAGATTAAGTGTGGCTTATCCACGAGTGACAGGTGTACGGCAGACTTGTATGTCTGGCCAAAATATGAATACAAATGATGCATAGTTCCTGCAACAAGCTTTCAACAGAAATATGTATTAATATGCAAGACACAATTCCTGTGATATTTTGGCAAGGCGAAAACTCAGCTGTCTAATGCTAAATCTGTTTTTAAACTTGGCATGCAGGCAAAGACACTTATTATCAGTACATGTACATCCAGTGTATGGTTTTGTCGGTAGGCCACATGAAGTTCAAGGCCACAGACATGCCGGCCTTTGTGCATTGAGGACGTCAGTGGAAAAAGTATACATTTTGGGCTCACCTGTTCTGGAAAAATGGGGTGATGCATGAGAATGGTTCGCACAATATTCACAAGACTGGTGTCAAAATGTTAGCAAGATACTGGCACCACTGAAAAACTCTTGAAGGCATTGGAGACAGCCTCCTGACTCTTTCAGGATTTAAGATCCTCTGCTGTCAATTTAGAGACTGTCTCTAAACATAAGCCTGACACTGAAGCCACCTGGCTGTCACTTCACAGCAATGAAGATAATCTCTTCACTCCTTCGTTAAGTAATAATTTCCACTCATTTGTGTCCTGCTATCACAAAACTTAGCTTTATGCTACAAACTTTTGAAATATTCCGCCAAAGCAAAACTTCCAATCCTGAAATCGCTTGCTGTACGACAGAAATGTACAAATTTGTACTAGAAAAGGGGAAATCATTTAAAAGGAGGAGGAACTTGTAAAAAGGGGAGGAACTTATAAAAGCAGTATATTCTGTTATGAAAATAAACACAACATTAAAGGTGACACTTGAAGCTGTACACTGAAATTAAACAAAACTGAAGAGTGAAAAAGAAGCATTGAGCTGCATGAAATGAAAGGAAGTTGATGTCACCCTAAGTTGATTTTGTGTGGGTAGATCCAATAAATGCGTGGCCCAACATATTTCAATCAAGTAACTTATTTCACCCAACATGTTATGAATGATTGATGTGGTAATCAATAATGTTACCTTCCATTTCAGATATGTTTGCAGCTGCAGGATCTGATCGATACGCGCCTTGTTCCGTCATCTGCTTAGTCACTAAAATTGGTAAACAGAACTTTAGCTCAGAACCAGATGTTTCGGAACCCATATGAAGTGCATTTCCATCATCTTCATGCAAGGCAGGACGTTTCTGATGTCTATTTCATCTGCCAGACTACACACCACCAAGTACCATTATGAAGCAGATGTCTCGAAACTGCTAAGACTTTGCTGCTTGAAACTGCTCGGCTTATTATCGTTTTCATTCCTTGGGGACAAACAAAGAGGGTTGGTTAACAAATGGATGCCACAGACACAAGTGTCACTGCAAAGAAGTTAGAGATTTGTCAAGAAAAAAAATGGTGTGAACTCTACACCAGACATACAACCAAGCATGCGCACACCAAGTCTCTCCTGACATGGCCATTGCTTAATTACATGTACATGGGAAAGAACTCCTGTTGTGCATACACATGGAGTCCATAGGTGTTTAATATATTCACAAAGGAGCCATTCCTGATCTTATTCCCTGACTCTGCTTTATAACATTTGTGAAATGTTGGTTTGAATAGAACCAGAGTTTTTGTAACTGGTGTGCATTGCAAGTCTCCCTCCAAAATCTGCCCAATCCTCACTTGATAATGGCCAGAGGAATTCTTTGCAAATGCTATCATTTCCCCCTTCCAAATCAAACCCCATCTATGCTGCAGTGAATTTGCATGCTGAGACAGTCTCCCATATTCATCAATTTTGCCCAGTCTTTGACTTCAGGAAAAACAAACTGGACTAAAGAAAATCTGTATTTGTTTCTGTCTTCTGTGTTTGGAGGCAAGATGAACACAATTACTGTCATTTGTACCCTCAACTTCCCCAGATTAATAGTTAATCTCGCCTTCAATTTCAATGACTGACATGAATAAAAACTGTTGCCAAGAATAATTGGCAATGGCTCCCAAAAAGGAGCCCCCCTCCCAATTCTCTAAAAATAATGGGAAAGGGGGCATTTTAGAGGTCTTTTTTCATTTCCCCTTTCCCCAAAGCATGTAAAAACCCCCTAAATATAGCTTCACACCTCTGAATGCCATAACAGGTTATCAATGCTTGAATAAAATTCAAATTTATCCCCCGATAAAAGTTCTGCCTCCCAAAATGTGGCTCTACTAGATCAGTTATTAGATGAATCGTACCATGTGATCAATGTACAGTTAGGAAGGTAGTCAATGTGTCAAGTAACTGTTCAGCGCTGGTTCATGTCAACATTTGTTGGGTTATGAATGAACCAACCCCGAATCCTGCAATTTTAGAATTCTGTGTGAGTTTTACTTTTTGGAAAACAGTTTCAGAAATCATATCCCATGACACAGTATTTTGAGTGGATTGAAGGAACAAAAAGCATGTAGTGAACACCAAAAGTGACTAAAGTGGACTTTGTATGAACAGGATACTTACTAATTTCATTTTAAACTTGAATAATTTAGCTGTATAGAAAAATGTAACTTTAACTTCTTATTTATATCCTGCCATACGCGCTGCCAAATTTCATACTGTCTCCATAATCCTATAAATTTTTTGGCTTTGCTTTGCAAATGTCAATAAACAGTGCTTCCTGATCTCACAGTGAGCTCATTGCCTGGATTTGTCAAAAGGTTGAGCAGTTTGGGACCCAGACAGTGCCCAAAGGTTCAAGTGCAAGACAGACATTTGGGTGGATTAACCCAAGGAAAAAATTGGGGAATTGTATTTGTCAAATTTGTCAGCACCCAAACTCCAACACATGATTTTGTGCTGAAATTGAGTGGTGTTTTGTCAACAGGATAAACAAGGAATTACCTGTTGTCTTTTTATTATGTTGTAATGAAATAACAATTGCACAAGTGTTCCTTTTCATGGATAAGGTTTCACTTTCAATTTCAAGGAAAATTTATTCTTGTATGTTCTTTTCTAAAGTTTCAACCAAATACAAAGAATACATGTACATGTAGATTACGCTGAGAGGTGCCAAGCAACAGACAATTCAGCTGTAGTCAAACTATAAACTTAGTCTTTGAAATCCCTTTGTGGCTATCGGATTGCTCTTAACACATTGCTGAAGTATCCTTTCATGACAGATGTCATTTGTAGAAGTCATTTATTACATGTATAATTTGCCTTTTGGAGACAAGTGATGCATGGCGTGTTCACATGAACTTTTTAACACTGTGGGTACAAAAAATGAATGAGATCATAAATATTTTAAAATGAATTTACAGATGTTAGAAATTTCGTACAATGTACAGTACTGTTTGGCCAGCTTTTGGTCATCAGTAGCCTTGTGTATACATGTAGATGGTTTAAATTAAACAGAACATGCATTTATTAACTTTGTTCATTGTATCTTTGTCAAAAATTAACTTGGAGTAAGTGAAATTATTAGTTTTTGTTTCTGTTTGGAGTGTTTCAATGGATGCCTGCGGATTGTGACAGTCCCATTAAAGGATTTCAGATGAGGAAAAAACATTTTAAATGGTAACCTTAAAGACGTTTATTTATAATGTGCCATGAATTAATATTGCAAATTGAACACAGAAACATTTTACCTGGAATTCAGCAAAATTCACAGTAAACAAGCACACAAACAGAAAGTGCCTGTGACAAGTCTTGTTTAGATGGTAAAACAAAGAACAAAGTTGCATGGAAAGTTGCCAAACTTCTACATGTATGCTCTTAATTTTTTTTTTAACAAGCTTAACATGGATAGATGCATACAAGTCTGTGGGAGCTGAAAGTCAATTGGTGCATTTAATTTCGGTTTACAACTTGTTAATTTGTCTGATAAATTCAGCATGCCAACTTATTGCATATAGTAATGACAACACCACCTGTGTCTACCCAAATGAAACATGCCATCTTTTCATAAATGTGCCAATATTTACAAAGGCAGTGGGTAAATTTATGTCTCCTCTTCCAGATGTTCAATTGTGGTTTCCATTGAGCAAACTTGCTTTTTCCTTTTGATGTCTCACACTGTTGTATATGTATACCTGTATGCAACACTTGCCTGCATCAGGGAAAGGTTTATTATTAAATCTTGTTGCACGGCATATAAGTCTTAAAATACATTATTCCTGAAGCATATTGTCTTATGCTTCTTTGAACTTTTTAAACATATTTTTGTCCAGTGAACCTACCTGATGCCTAAGGAAACATCAACGTGAATAGGTAAAGTTGACTACACACTTATTGGTTCTCATCAGAGCCATACCTCTTCTAAAAGAGATCTATCAACATGGTGTTCCTGCAAGCTCTCTCTTTAGTTGAATAGTTAACTACTTTGACATGCTTACAGCTCTGAAAGTTAACGTATCTGTGTATGATAAACCACAGAATTGCTTGTTTGGGACCAACGCGGTTGCTTGTTATGTCACAGCTGACATCTTGGAACAAAATTGAGTGTGACATGTACACATGCAAAAGTCTAAGTAAATGCTGATGTGGTTGAGAAAATGATGAATCGTTGTCTTCATGTCCAGTGTGCCCTTTTGGCAAAGATAACGTCCAAGAAGTCGCATTTACTGCATTGTTGTCTGCAACTTGGCAGGGCAGACACATAACCCCTCTGAGGGCTTCCGGCACTTCACATACTACACACCCTAGATGGACCAATGCGTGAATGGTGTGTCTGGTTCGTGTATGATTCAGACACACTGGGGTTGGCAACAATCCATATTTAGCAATGAAGAGCATCTAATTATGAACATGGGAAAGAGGCCGTCAGTCTCTTATGGACATCAGTTTTGTATAGACTTTGTGTCATTTTTAATAGGAGTATGGATGTAAGTTGATTTTTGTCATCTGATTATTAATGTATGCATAGTTTTGTTCTAAGGAGTAAAAGTGGTTGTTGATGGTTTCCTCACCACTTGTCAGGGAGGGGATATGTCTACACTCTTCACTGAGCTTCAACAACTTGTAGAATGGAGCCACGGCAGGCTCTACAGTCAAGCACTATTGTAACAGTCCTCAGGATGTTAACATTGCCTTGTCACAACAGGAACCTTGTATTATAAGGAGTAGACGTGTACATGTATGTAGAAATCCAACACTGAGTTTGGGCCAGCAATTTTCCATATAATGAGCAAGACATTGCATTAATAGTGCTCTCATTCACCCGTTGACAAGGTTTTGCTGTTTTGTGTTTAACCTTCATCCGATATGAATGACACCTTCAGTATGCCTACAGTTAGGCCAAGAAAACAAATAAGTTGATCATCCCGGTTTTTCTAAAATGAGGATTTTTTCCAAGATGGCTGCTAAGGATTTAAATTCAAAATGACTGCCAATTTTGGGGTTCAGAATGACTGCCGGTGTTTCATTGGCTATCCTACCAGTAAACAGCATCAAAATATTCATATTTGAAATTGTTCTCTGTGTCTTATTAAAGTGCGCAGTTATATGCAAGAAAAAGTGAGCAGTTGTTTCTTACAATGTAGGTGAGAAATAAAAAAGGGATGTGGCCTAAAAAGGATGTGGGCATGTATGATAAACTGGTTTTTATTGTTACTGGGCCTAACTCTCTCTTTGACACAGCCCTGCTGAAATATAGCCAAATTATAAGCCAGAGGGTTCAAGGGATATCCCCATTTCCTGATATATATTAAGTTCCTCAGGCCTGAGTGGGTCAGGCCTGAGGGTACCCGCTGTTCCACACAAATATTGAACTGATGGCTAAGTCACCAACTGACTCTTACAAGATGCAGATTGGAGCTTCAACATTTGTTAATAATCACTGAATTCTAATAAAGTAAATGTCATAACAAACAAATATAAATCCAGATGATAATTTTTTTAACTGCTAGAAATTCTAATAATGCTTTAAAATGACAAAGTTCACATCATAGTTGGCTACCCAAATGTTTACGCAAACCATTGAGGAAGGAGAAGGAATACTCCTTCCATGCTCCCACACCCTCATTGACATGGTACACCTGCCAGTTAATCTCCTGGCTGTTCTAAATGTACTTTACACCTGATCATAAGTCACCTCCCCTTCCGATCTGGTACCTAAACACCATCCCTGGGAGATGTGCTTAAAACAAATCTTTCCCCTTTCTAAACAAGGACATCTATGATCAGGAAACTGAAACAGAAAGAAACAAAATACTGAGTAGTTTCTAACATGGAGCTACACCTCCATACAGTGTGCGGTGCATGTACATGTGTGTGATTTAGTCAGGAAATGACAGAAACCGTGATGTACGTGCCCCAGTGCTGTTCACGTGGTGTAGGCCATTGATGTCAATGCACTTAATATGTTCTGCAGACATGTAGATAATGTGTTCATAGAGTGTCACGCTCAGGAACTCACCGCAGTTTCGTGTACAAAGTCTGAAATATACAGTTTTATTCAAGCAGAAGGGCAGTACAAAACAAGACTCACAAGCACACTAGGGTGCTACAATCACAACATATTTCAATACTCTGTGGAGACCTGATATATGGATATACATGGTGTAAAAATGCCATGGGTATTTAAAAATAAATTGGTACTTTGGAAATAAAATACACAATAAGACAGAAGAGATATACGTGTGAGTGCTCAATTCTGGCATTTTCTGAGCCATGAGAAACTGTCGTTTGCCCAATTGACAACAAAATCGTGTTTTCTCAACCTAGGGAAGGTCAGGCCATATACTGGTTAACAAGAAATGAATGAAGGGATCTTCATGTCATTTTCATGTGTTATATAAGAACAATGCAATTCCTGAAGAAAAAAATGGAAGTAATTGTGTAATCTGGAGGCAGAACATTGAGCACCAACGTTACCACTATTTGGAGCTATTTTTGTGTACCGGTTTAATGTGAAATTTGGACACAATGAAATTGGACTCAATGGCTGCATTGTGCATGCAGCAAGTGAAAGTGGGAAAAAGACTGGTTATGTGTGAGGGTCAGAATAAGGGCAAGGGTCAGAATAAGGTCAAAGGGACAATATTCTGCAGTAGTCCAAATCTCACCTACATGTACGCCAATACCTGTTAATACAGCACAACGATCCAATACATGATACATGTACAATCACAA